TTTAAAAAAAATTAGAGACTCACACCCCACTTTTCTCTCTGAAAGGGACCCAAAGCATTTTACAACACTGTTCCCCTGCTTCCATTTTGCCCTCATGGAAACAACCCTGTGAAGTAGCGTGTCACGGGCAAGGCTCCCTCTAAGCTGTGGAGCCTTGTGAGCAAAAATTCTACTTTGTGAGCGACTGGCATTGAAGTTGTGAGCCGGCGATTTGGCTGCTGCCTAAATTAGTTTGCTCTGGAGCCCTCCTTCCTGAGCTAAGACAGAAACGTGTGAGCTGGAGGCTAAAAAACTGTGAGCTGGCTCACACTCACTCAGCTTAGAGGGAACACTGGTCACAGGCCCAGACAGCTCCCATAGCAGAACGGGGATTCAAATCTTGGTCTCCCAGATCCTACTATAACCAGTACATCACACTGGGTCTCCATCAATGCTCCCTCTAAGCTGTGGAGTCCTGTGAGCAGAAATTCTACTTTGTGGGCTACTGGCATTAAAGTTGTGAGCGAGCAGTTTGGGTACTGTATAAATTAGCTTGCTCTGGAGCCCTCCTTCCTGAGGGAAGACAAAAAAGTGTGAGCTGGAGGCTAAAAAGCTGTGAGCTAGCTCACACTAACTCAGCTTAGAGGGAACACTGGTCTCCATCCATCCACACAAACAAACTAGAAATTCATGAGGATCTCCCTGCCCCACTAGTTTCCCCTGGGCAGGGCGTGGGGGAAGCAGTTCCAGTCTGTGAGCCTGCACTGGTCTAGCCCAGACACACACTGCACACCTCCGTGAGCACTAGGCAGCAACAGCGAGAAACAAAACATGTTGTTGTTGTTGTTCAGTCGCACAGTCGAGTCCGACTCTCCATGACCCTATGGACCATCTCCCGCCAGGCCCTCCTGTCTTCCGCCGTCCTCTGAAGTTGGCTCAATTTCATGTTCGTTGCGTCGATGACACTGTCTAACCATCTCATCCTTTGCCGTCCCCGTCTTCTTTGACCTTCAATCTTTCCCAGCATCAGGGTCTTCTCCAGGGAGTGCTCCCTTCTCATTTGGTGGCCAAAGTATTTGAGCTTCAGTTTCATTATCTGGCCTTCCAGGGAACAGTCAGGGTTGATTTCTTTTAGGATTGACTGATCTGATCTCCTTGCAGTCCAAGGGACTCTCAAGAGTCTTCTCCAGCACCATAGTTCAAAAGAATCTATTCTTCGGCGCTCGGCCTTCCTAAAGAGGTACTCAGGCCCTCGCAAGTTGTGGGATGCCTAAGGTGGAACTCAGCAGCTCATTTCTGCATCTAGCATTGGCTCCGCTGTTTTACCAAACCCGCGTTGGGACAGGAATACCCCTCTGCATGGCATGCCCACTTTCATCTTGACTGATGGTTGGATTTCCTGGCAGTGTCCAGACTGCATTGCCGCTTTCATAAGAACATAAGAGACGCCAATGTTGGATCAAGCCAAAGGCCCATCTAGTCCCACACAGTGGCCAAAAACACCAGGTGCCATCAGAAGGTCCACCAGTGGGGCCAGGACATTAGAAGCCCTCCCACTGTTGCCCCCCCCAAGCACCAAGAAGACAGAACTTTCACTTCATTTGATCTCTCCGTTTTATGGTAGCCGCCTGCATAGATTTATGGCCGCTCAGCACTTAGAGAAGAATTTGCACAATGCTCCTTTGAGTCAAGAGCCTGGAAGGCAGCCTTTAAATTAAGACTGAAAGTTCTTTATATGACACCTAATGCTCAAGGAGGTCTTCTTTATCTTTTAAAAGGGGATAATTATAAATGTACGTGGGCAAAACTTATAGATAACAAGCTGGAGTGGATTGGTCTCGCCCCTCCGGTGCTTAATAATTTAAATTATCAAGAAGTGCTAAATCTGATGAGATTGAGGGTGACAAACATTGACCGACTCAGCACTTCAATTCGTGCTAGGCGAGTATGCTCCAACCTTAGGGATTGTTCCACCTAAGAAAACTCCCTCATATATGAGCTTCCTTACATCCCCCAGATCTAGATATGTCTTCACGCTTGCAAGGTTGAATGTTTTTCCAACTGTAGAGCTAAGTGGCCGTTTTGCTAAAATACAGTACTCAAATAGATTGTGTGATTGTGGATCAGGTACAATAGAGACCTTAGATCATCTTATGTTATTTTGCCACCAATGGATTGACCCCAGCTCCTGCTGGATTACTCCTATTTTACAAAGATATCACCTCCCTATGGAACCCTGGGTGATAACCATACTATTAGCTGATGAGGACCCTGAAACGACTCGCTTGGTGGCAAAATATCTTTCGATAGTGCAATTTTTAAAGCAGCTTTGAAATGTTATAAGTACCTTTTGTATACAATTTTAAAATTTTAAAACTAATTTCCATAATATCATGGGATTTTATAGAATTCATTGAAGTTTATAAAATGTGGTCTGATATTACTGATCGAGAGCATGTTTACTAGCTTTTATTGTAAAGACGTTCTGCCTAAATTTCTTGTAATTATATGTAATGCATTTTATAGTTGCTGTTTGCATGTTTTGCTTAAGACCTCGGGTCAATGAAGCTAATAAATGAAATGGAATGGATTTATGGCCGCTTTATGGCCATTCAGGGGTGACTCTGGCGTTGGCCCCGGGGTATCTGAATGTGGTTTTCAGCCGCATCTTTTTCTGTTCCAGTGGGGGTTTGGTAAAACAACGGAGCGAACACTAGATGCAGAATGAGCCAATGCCACATCACAAACGGCAATCAGCTTTGAAAGGGGCTTGCCACTTGGCTCTGGGAATCGGGGGAAGCTGCTCAAGGGACACACGTGAAATCCCCATCCCGGATCTGAAGCCATCCTCAAACCTCTGGTTCAAACCCTACTCAGAGGAAGACTCTGGTAACCATTCATGACAGGGCCAATTTAATAACTGAGGCAGGTGGGGAAGAGGGTCAGAGTTCAGCGGCAGTGCCACGCAGAAGGCCACAGCAGCCTCGGGGCAGAGCAGGAGGGGGAGGAGGCTTTTGTCTGGCCGGAGAGCCACCCCCACGCAAAGCAGACGGAGCACAGATGACCGGGAAGGATCTGACCACGGCCACTTAACCGTGGTTAAGCATTCCAGGAGTACTGCGTGCATGCCGGCCCATGCCGAAAAAGCAAAACTCCCTTTCAAATCCAACACCTTTCTCCTTTTAGTTGGCACAGCTCCCAAGACATAATCCCTTCTTGCCTTCCTTTGACTCTAAAGCCACCGCAGCACGATCGATCCTGTGCTACATGAGCCAAAAGTGCCACTGAACTGGAGATCTCCTGGGATGACAACCGACCTCCAGACGGCCAGAGATCAGTCCCCCTGGGAGTATATGGCTACTTCGAGGGGTGGACCCTATGGCCTTATATACCAATGAGGCCCCTCCCTTCCCAAACCCCGCCCATCCCAGGCTCCACCCCCTAAACCTCCAAAGCTGGCGACTCGGCCACTGAACACACACTCCTAAGACACCTTGGCAATGGCTCACCTCACTCACGTCCCGTCTCCTCCCACACCCAGCAAAATGCATTGATGCCTTCGACCCACCACTTCCCTGTTCTCGATCCTTCCTCTGTCCTCCTTTCCCCTCAAAACATTCTTATCGAGCCAGAGCACATTACTAATAAAGAAGATAAAGTATTCAGGAAGCCAGGATTTGCCTTCTCAATCAGGAGGTGTTGCTTGACATTGTCAAGGAAGGCGGAAGAATGATAATGAAAAAGTGATTATTTAGGCCTTCAAGACCTCAGGAGAAGAAAATCATTATGTCTTCAGCACCGAAGCGTGAAGTTAATTACAACTGTCAGTCAATTAGCCTTCAAGGTGTCAAATGAACGTGTGGGGGGGGTGAGAGAGAGAGAGAGAGAGAGAGAACGAAAGCAGCAGCTGACCAGGCTTAGCACTACCTCGTCCACCCTCAAGTGACAAAAGGGGAAATGCGGACTTATTGTATAGGGCTGTTCACAAATTCTAAATACTGCACACAAAACAAGTTATGGGAAGCCTTGCCGTGACAGCTTTATAAATGGACCCAAACATCTGGTGAAAAATATGAAGTCTCTTAGCTAAAATAAAACAAACTTTCAAGATTTGGATGGAGGTTTGGCTCCCCCCCCCAAGACCTGCATAGGGGCTCTACTCAGAGATGACAGGTCTGGGTTGGGAACATGGTTTGGAGATGGGCAGTAATTCCAGGGGATCCCCAGGTCCCACCTGGAGGCTGGCATCCCTCGTATAAGGCCGCGGAATGACCCTCCCCCAAGGCAGCCATTTTCTCCAGAAGAACCGGTCTCTGTTCCCATTCCGGGAGGTGTCCAGCTGAGGGTCACCAGCTCCAGATTGGGGAGCACCTGGAGATTTGGGGGTTGACGCCCGAGGAGGGCGGGCTTTGGGGAGGGGAGGGACCCCAATGGGGCCTAGTGCCACAGAGTCCACCTTCTAGGGTTGCCAAGTCGGAATCTAGCTGCAGCGGGGGACTTCCGGCTGGCGGCTGGAGCGTGCGCGTCCCCCTGAAGTGATGCGACCACGGCGGGCATGCTGAGGGCGGGGCCACAACCGTGGCCCCGCCCCCAACGTGCCCGGCGTGGTCACGTCACTTCCGGGTGACATGCATGTCGGGGTGGAGTTCCCCCCGGGGCCCAATCCGCCGGCAGCGGGGGACGGGCCTCTGGGGCGGGGGTTTCCCCACCCCCCGGGGGGACTTGGCAAGCCTACCACCTTCCAAAGCGGCCATTTTCTCTGTTGCCTGGAAGTCAGTTGTAATCCTGGGAGATCTCCAGTCCCACCGGGAGCTGGGCAACTCCAGCTCTTCGGCTTCAGACTGCAGGTGGGACCTGACAGGTTAGAAAAGTCTGTACGGAGGGGCCGTTTGGTCACGTCGGCCCCCGCCGGAAGTCTAAATGTCTACAGCCGAAAAAGACAGGTCTCCTCCCTCAGTGAGAGTTAGGCCACAAGTCTGCTAAGGTTCCCGTCCACCCCAGACCAATTTTGGCTTACTCACTTGATGAAAGCGGGCGGCATGTCCCTCTTCAAAATCTGATCTTCCGTTGTCTGAACCGTTTCTTTTCCAACCTGCACGGGGGAAGGGGCGGGGGAGAGAGAGGAAATCGTTACACTTTTTATAAAATCTTATGCTTCAGAATTTCAATCTAACCCTTCATAAAATTACCCAAAATGAGTCATGGCTGCCGTCTTTTGCCATAGTTTAATAATAATAAATAAATAAATAATAGGAGTTGCGGTGGCTCAAGTGGTTAAGACGCTGAACTGCAGGCTGTGGAAGGTCGGTAGTTCAGCAGTTTGAGACCCGAGTGTGCCGCATGACGGAGTGAGCTCCCGTCTCTAGTTCCAGCTCCTGCCAACCTAGCAGTTCGAAAGCAAGAAATTGCAAGTAGATAAATAGGTACCACTTCGGTGGGAAGGTAACAGCGTTCCGTGCGCCTGGGTGTTTAGTCATTCCGGCCACATGACCACGGAAACGTCTTTGGACAGCGCTGGCTCTTCGGCTTGGAAACGGAGATGAGCACCACAACCCTAGAGTCGGATTCGACTGGCTTTCGAGCAAGGAAGATCTTTACCTTTAATAAAGCCCCACAGAAGTGACACCAGAATTTCAGCATTCGTGTATCTCGAGAGCAGACTAAACCGACAGCCTTGTGGTGCCGTTACAAACCTAAGGAGACCTCTCATTTAAAAACAGGGGGTTTTATTATTATTTCCCAGATCCACTGCAGCAGCAAAGAGACCAAGAGGTGAATCGTGGAAAAGGTTCGGATCGGTCATGCCGAATCCCAAATCCCGGTAATGCCGAATCTGGGCTACTGGAACAAGCCTTCCCAGAGCCTGGGCTAGGCTTGCCAAGTCCCCCTGGGGGGCGGGGAAACCCCCGCCCCAGAGGCCCGTTCCCCGCTGCCGGCGGATCGGGCCCCGGGGGGAGCCCCACCCCGACATGTGCGTCACCCGGAAGAGACGCGACCACGCCGGGCACGCTGGGGGCGGGGCCACGGTCATCCGAGGGAAAACTCTGCTGTCGTGGCCCCGCCCCCAGCGTGCCCGGCGGCGTCACGTCACTTCCGGGTGATGTGCATGCAGCGCGTGCGTGCTCCAGACGCCAGCCGGGAGTCCCCCGCTGCGGTGCAACACCCGACTTGGCAACCCTAGCCTGGGCCTTCCTCTTCCCACGTCCCTCCTTGCCCCTGGTGGGGGAATGGGGGGGTAGGGTTGCCAGCTGCAGGGGCACCGGACGGGGACCTCAGCGGGGTTCAGTGCCATGGAGTCCACCCTCCAGAGCACCCGTTTCCTCCAGGGCTACTGATCTCTGTCGTCTGGAGATGAGCAGTAAACCTCAGAGATCCACAGGTCCCACCTGGAGGCTGGCACCCCTGTCTCCCTCACTTACTGGGATTCCAGGTTTTCTACAAGCCAACCTTGCCGTTCCATTCAACTTTGCCAGAGCCGTCGGTGTTCCTGTTTAGTCTAGCAAGAGCGCCAGTTTAAGGCCTTATTTGGAAAACTGGGTAGAGTTCAGGTCACTGTATCTCAAAAAGGCCACTGCAGAGGTGGAAAAAATACAGAGGAGGGCAACCAAGACGATTAGGGGCTTGGAGCCCCTTCCCTAGGAGGAAAGGCCGAAGGCAGTGCTCCCTCTAAGCTGAGTTAGTGTGAGCTAGCTCACAGTTTTTTAGCCTCCAGCTCACAGATTTCTGTCTTTGCTCAGGAATGATGGTTCCAGAGCAAACTACTTTATGCAGTAGCCAAATTGCTCGCTCACAACTTTAATGCCAGTAGCTCACAAAGTAGAATGTTTGCTCACAAGACTCCACAGCTTAGAGGGAACATTGCAAAGAGTCTGGCACTTCCCAGTTTAGAAAAGGGATGACTAAGGGGGGACATGACCGAGGTTTATACAATTATGCATTTTTCTCCGTCTCCCAAAAAACTCGAGGGCATCCAATGAAGCTGATGGGCAGTAGGTTCAGGACGGACAAAAGGAAATATTACTTCACACAGAGAGTGATTAAAATGTTAAGTTCGCTGCCAGAGTGTGTAGTGATGGCCACAGGAATAAACAGCTTTACATCTCCAACATATATCCGAGACATTTTTATAACATTTCGCTATTTTATCCGGTGACCAGTGCCACCTGTAAAACATTTTTAGAATATTCTCTTTATAAGGTGTGGCTCTTACTATTTTTTTCGTTTCCCACATTTTTTCCCATTCTTGCATATTTATTATGTGGCCTATATTTTGTTCCCAGGTTTTCATGCAGGGTTTTATCGCTATATCTTCCATGCTTTCCTTCTGAAGAAGTTTGTATAGCTTTTGTATTTGTTTGTCTGCCGAGGACAACCAAATCTTATCTAGTTCTAACATTGAGTCATTGAATTTTATTTTTTTGTCCTTAGCAAATCTTGATTGTAATATTGTTCTTTCCCAACTTGTCAGGTTTATATTCATTATATTATGGAGATGTAATAACGTAGGAACATACTATCATATATGGTGGAGGTGCGACAAAATAGTAAAATTTTGGAAAATGGTAAAATATCTGATAAAAGAAATTGTAGGAATAGATCTGCAGCTTAACCCGGAAAGTTACTTGCTTAATATTTTGCCTGATATAATAAACAAGGATGATAAATGTATTGTGTTATATATCCTCACGTTAAGCAGAATTCTAATAGCGAAAAAATGGAAATCAGATTTACTACCTAAAAAAGAAGAAATAATGGAAAAAATATTCGAAATAGCAGAAATGGACAGATTAAATATGATATTAGCAGAAAGAGACGATAATGTTTATAACAAAAGATGGTTTAAAGTGTATAAATGGTTTGAAAAAAATGTATAATGAACACTCCGAAACTGATTTGTACAATAAGAATGTACTCGGATTTTTATTTTTTGTTTGTTTGTTTGTTGGAAAAA